ATATTCTTCAAAGAAGATCGAACGTTTGAAGAAAGACCCAAAACCGCATACTTTTGATTGGCCAACGTTAATTTGTTGGAGATCAAAAGTGAATAAACAATTATTATACATGTGGATATATTAAGACTGAGATTCTTATCAATTGTATTATTCTCCTAACATAATATTATAGATTGTTTTTCCCCCAAGACTCGAACAATGACCACTGGCGTTTGTGAAAAATGCGTACCTGTGACGCATTATATATGCATATTTACTAAGTTTTGTTTGGTATAGTACAAAGATAAACGCGAACAAAAGTCCAGGTAAAACCCAATATTTCGTATGTTGACAAACTCTTCCTATCGGCATTGTCCTCAGGGAATTTGACTTTTTTTTCTAGAAAAGAAATCTGACTAGAGGAAAAGCTTTGGGTTACTAAACATGCAAACATATTCAAACGCAGTAATTACGGCTGACTAATTCATCTCCCTGACAAAGGCCATTCAAAATAAATCTATCTCTTCCCGGATGAGTATATATACTCAACAAATAATAATCATTGTGTTGTTCCAACACCACCACCGAAACGATTCTACAACCCGAGAAAATTAATCAATATAATATAAATTAAATTCCAGAGCCAGACAAAATATTAATAAAATATAACAACAAATCAATGGCGATTAAAACTTAGCAACTGAAGTTTCACCATAAATGGTTCTTCAAGCTGTCTAAATGTGAGTATATATATATATATATATATATATATATATATATATATATATATATATATATATATATGTGTGTGTGTGTGTGTGTGTGTGTGTGTGTGTGTATTATGAAATGGACTAAGTTCGAAAATTATTTTAATTTATTTTATTGTTATACGTTATTTATATAGACACAAATATTTAAGTAAATGCTCTTTTTATGATAAACGAGCGAGCTTCGCAAATTAAGATATAATCACTACTTGAAATCTTTTAAGCAAAAATTTTAAATGAACATTTCATTCATAAATTGGCTTGTTATAGTTATGGAAAGTTTTACAAATAGATGCCAACTTGTTGAAAGCCAAGTAAAATGCAAATTTCAAACACTTTTCTGCACTATATAAGACGATATTCCTAAACAGAACTATTTTTGATGTGAAAATCAAAACAAACCCCGAATAAAAGAATAGTAATTAAGGACAGTTAATTAATGAAATAAACTTTTTTTAAAATCAATATGCAAATTAGTTAAACCTGAAGAGTGATATTGCCGGGAAATACATAATATATAATACACATATTGAGCGCGTACCTTCCTCTTTTTGAGTAGGTACGCATCATATCTCAGTGCCGGCCCTGGGGAACAGCTGCCCAAGGCCGCGCCTTCTCATTGCACTAGAGAGAAGGATCGGTGCACGCACCGAGGCCAGCGCAACCGACTTATGCGGGGGCTGAAGGGAATTTTTGTTCCTGTCCCGGGCGTACGCGCTCGGGTACCCACCTAAAAATTGACCTTGTGCCACATCTCGTCCTGGGGGGGTCAGAATAAATGCCGTGTGTAAATTTAAATATTTGTGTCTATATAAATGTCAATATATATATTACTTCAAATGTAATGATACCGTGTTTGAAATAAACATCACATTAAAAATTAGAAGACGTGTTGTCTATATCAAAGACGGGTATCCACTAAAAATAACCTCGTTTGAAATAATAAAGACGTTGGATTAAAAATAAAAATCCATTTTATATATATATATATATATATATATATAACATGCACAACGCAATCGTAATCGTGAGAAAAATGTATATTTATTAATATATATCAGAGGAATCTGACACAGGTGAATCTTTTTCATAAAGTTAATCTTGATATATAGCGTCTAAACTACGCAAAAATGAAAATGACACTGACTCATTTTAACAGATATATTTACCAAAATTACACAAAAACATCTTGAAATATTAAAGAATAAATTTATCCAATAAAATTGCCATTGGCTTCAACCACGGACCCCAAACAACTTCGGAATCTCCCGCATCTCTTCTGGACGGTCTCCTGGTTTAAGTTGATGAATGTTGTCATAATACTAGCCTTCAGTTCATCTTTGGTGTTACAACGAGTTTTGTACACATAATAATCAAGGGGATACAGTCTAGGGATTTAGGTTGCCATATATAAGGTGTGACGTGGTCGCAAATATTGTCTGACAGCCATCGCTGGGTTCTCCTCCTTGTGTGGCATTGTGCAGAGTCTTGTTGTCATAGGGTCTTCCAACAGTCATCCTCTTGAACCTGGGCAGCACTACTTCCTCAAGACACTTGATGTAGGCCTCCGTGTTGAGAATAGGGCCCTCACCAACAAATTCAAGAGATCTTTTCTTATCAAAACTATCACGGTGAGTTTTCCGTGCTGCCGTATGTCCGAAATCACCATTAGACTCATCCAACTCCTACCGAATACTCTACACTTTGCTCAGATTGAGACCCCAAACACTCTGAAATGTTCGTATTGGAGCTTCCGGCGCAAATGGCAAGCACTACAGCATGCCGTTTCCAAATTTCTGGCGGAGGAATTGCATTATGGTGCTCTTTTTTTCTGGCGGAGTGAATTGCATTATGGTGCTCTTTTTTTCTGGCGGAGTGAATTGCATTATGGTGCTCTTTTTTTCTGGCGGAGTGAATTGCATTATGGTGCTCACAGACGGTGTACAACTGACCCTACTATACTGTGCAGTCGGTCTAATCAAAAACAAACAACACGCATGCGTGAAATTAAAATATAAAATGGCGACAATTTACCCATTGTACCCGGTATAAAATTTATAAATCGTTTTCCCAACTATATATATATATATATATATATATATATATATATATATATATATATATATATATTTTCCAGAATAATTCTGTGGATAAGACAAATTGCTATAAAAATAACAATTGGAAAAAAAAAATTATTTTTGCCGACGCGTTTCGTCTTCCGACTTTATCAAAACAAACAATGAAAGCGAAATGTTTTATTGTTATAGATGCATTAAATCCAAAATTTTAAAAAAAAGAGACGCTCCAGCGTAAGACTCTTTCTGGATAATGCTAACTTCCTTTATACTAAGAGTTTTTTTTTTCCATGTCGATAATATAGTTAAATTTTCCAGAATTATAAAAATAGTACTAACCAATATTGATATACTAAGATTATATAATTCAAAATATATCAAATGTTCAATAGTTATTTAGAGCAATAAGTATTATATTAAAAGTAATTAAAGTTCACAATCCTTATCGGAGTTTCTTGTTTCCGCATACGGCAGGATGCAGACAAGAATGATTGTATTATTTCAGAATATAGATTTAATTTTATATAAAATATATATTCCGTGAGAATTTATACAACCATTCTAGTGTGAATTCTGATAGCCTGCCGAATCGCGAAACTCTGGGTCGACCCTTAATAAGTACTGTGCATTTTACTTACTTCAGATCTTAATGAGTCATTTCGAAAAGTTTTCTTTTTCAAACGTAAGACAAACTGATTTTAAAACTTAAAAGTTTGAAAAAAATCGCCTCTTTATTTCCATTCAAGTATTTAATCCAATTAGTAAATGGTGGAGGTAGCGCCATGGTTACCAGTTGAGAAAGACAAATCAGTGATGCAAGTTCAAATTCCAAGCGAGTTCGTTGCATTCTCTTTCAGGTAAATATCCTTCTGAAAGGCATAGAAGCACTTCTTCTTCTACTTCTTAGCTATAGCAGAGCTAACTGGCCTCTCTAGCCTTATTTAGTAACCAGTCTAGAGATAACGAACAATAACTAAGATTCTTAGGTCATCTGAATTGTGCAACCTGACCCAGGCGGAGATAGAGTCTTTGGTGTTAAAATAAAATATTATAATACGAGGAGTTTTCTCGCAGTCGGTGTATGTTTTTCATGTCTGAAATCACAAATTTCTTTTGCTCCCCACAATTGGGTATATTTCAAACCAAAGAAAATATGACTTTTTTTATAAGATAATATTTTTATAAGGTTATAATTTTTAGGAAAAAAATTATGCTAAAACCTATAGAAGGTAAACAGATTAATTTTACTTAATTTTACCAAATTTTCATTGTGTAATATATTAGCAACAAATGGATTTGGCCAAAGGTGGCACGAAGTCATATTAATGCAGTATCCTGTAAGAAAGTAACTCACTAACACTGCTATGCATGTTTAGCATAAAACCATTACTCTTATACAAGCAATTTGTTTGCGAATACCGATGAAGTGAGCTGACGATTGTTGATGTTCCTCTCGTCTCTTATTATGTCTGTTAGCTTTTGAAAGAAGAGGCAAAAATAGATGAAATGATGCAACAGCTTGGAAGACGTAAGATGATATTAGGAGGATTTTCAATGAAAACCAGAGTGAAGTGAGACACTAAGATTATAAATGGTAAAGGTAGAAAATAGGGTGAGAGAAAAAGTGGGAGCGGAGGAAGAAGAAAATCAGATGGAAGTGGATAGGCAAAGAAGAAGAGAAACATGTAAAAAAATGAAAAAGAAGAAAGAAAGAGAGAAAAAAAGAAAGAAAACGAGAAAGAAAAAGGGAAATAAAAGGAAATGAAGAAATAAATATCTGAAAAAGAAATTTAGAAAAATAAAGAAAAAGTAAAAAATGAAAAAGGGGAAGGCAAAAGAGAAGAGAAAAAGAAATGTTTGAAAAGAAATTTAGAAAAATAAAAAAGGTAAAAATTAAAAAGACCAAGAAAAATATGGAAGTGGTTAAAAGAAAGAAAGAAAGAAAGAAAGAAAGAGAAAAAAGAAAAAAAAAGAGAAATAAATATCTGAAAAAGAAATTTAAAAAAATAAAAAAAAGTAAAAAATGAAAAAGACCCAGAGAAACCTGGAAGCGGCAAAAAAAAAAAAAAAAAAAAGCAAGAAAAAAGGGAAATGTGGGTAAATAAAGTGAAGAAAAAAGAGAAAAAGAAATATTTGAAAAGAAATTTAGAAAAATAAAAAAGGTAAAAATAAAAAAGACCAAGAAAAATATGGAAGTGGGTAAAAGAAAGAAAGAAAGAAAGAAAGAAAGAAAGAAAGACAAAGAAAAAAAGAAATAAAGACAAAGAAAAAAGAAATAAAGAAAAAAAAGAAAGAAAGAAAGAAAGAAAGAAAGAAAGAAAGAAAGACAAAGAAAAAAGAAATAAAGAAAAAAGAAAGGATGGAAGAAAGAAAGGAAAATGGTGGGAAATAAAGTGAAGGACAAAAGAAATGAAATAATATCTGAAAAAGCGATTTCGAAAAATGAAGGAAAACGGGATAAAATGAGAAAGGTCAATAAAATTCTAGAAGTGAGAAAAAGAAAGAAAGACATATAAGGAGGTAGGCAGAGAAAGAAAGGAAGAACTAAAAGCAAGAAAAAAAAAAACAAACGAAGAGAAAGAAAGAGAGAATGTTATAAAAATGTGAGAAAGAAAAGAAAAAAGAAAATGAAACAATAATGAATTTGTAGTGATGGAACAAATGAGTTGAAAGTGAAGATAAAAAAAAAACAATCACAATAAGAGAAAGAAAAGAATGGAATGGAGAACTAACAGAAAGCACGAAGGAGGAATAATTAAAGTAAAAACGACGAAAGAAGAAAAGGAAACAAATACACAAAATGAAAAGTGACGTTAAAATCTCACTAAAGACAACGGAATCAACGATGACGAGAAGAAGATTAAAAATTTAAAAAGAGAGACGCAAATCAAAAGACAGAAGGGAAGAAATAGAAAGCCAGGATTTATGGTGATCGCTGGACCTCCAGCCAGGACATAAGGACTGGTGATTTCACACTCGGTAATAGAGCCATGGACGTGTTGACGCATACACCGTAACTCTATCCTCAACGCTGTCCCCAAGGTCCCACCCTGACGCGCACATTTATCTGATTGGTATTCTGCCACCAAAGCGTGGCGTGCACGATTTGCCGTCCTCCATTCCAGGAGAGGATCCACTTTGGCTCGCACTTACGCCCCAGGAGATAACTTCTTGAAAACGAATTGGTTCCCGCCATAATGTCCGCCATTTTGTCTGTTTTTCCTCCTCCACCATTTGAACCGATTTTTTTTTACTTTCATCTCTCTCTCTCTCTCTCTCTTTAATAATTTGTTTTGTTTTGGTCAGTCATGCCTAAATCGTTTCTCTAGTTCTGCATGCGACTATTCGTTTATTTTTTTGTGATTTTCTTCCACTCTTTGTAAAACTATCGTTACTTTATTTTTCTTTCATCCCTATCACCATTCCGTTTTTTTTTTGTTTTTTTTTGTTTTTTTTTTCTCTCCTAATTTGTTTCGTTCGGGTTTCTAGGGCGGATAAGCAGTATCCATTTTCATTATATTTTCATTCTGTTAGATTCTATTTGTATTCCAATTGCTGTACGCGCACGCGCATGCGCATGTGTGTGTGTGTGTGTGTGTGTGTGTGTGTGTGTGTGTGTGTGTGTGTGTGTGTGTGTAAATCATTCGATAAAGATGTCATTTCTTCTGCTGGTTCTACTTCTTTTGCGCGAAGCTGCCATGACACAAACTGAGGCAGCTTTCGTGACTCTAAACTAAACATTGCCCGTAAAAGTGATATAAACGACCCGAATTCCCAGATTCTACCGTTTTCTGTACCCTGTCCCATCACCAGTCATGTAACTGCTAAACAATGATAGTGTGTGAGTAAACGTGCAATTTCCTCTTCGATGAATAATTGCCAGCGTCACGACTACGAAATTTTACCTGGTTATGAGGAATGAATAACAAACGCGCATGCGCGAAAACACAAACGCTGATAGAAAGGTAGGAAAAAGTGAGTTGATAGATAGATAGATAGATAGATAGATAGATAGATAGATAGATAGATAGATAGATAGGTAAGCAGACAGCTAAGTAAAATAAGGAGGTAGGAAGAGAAAGAACGGAAGAGCTAAAAGCAAGAAAATATCGCAAATGAATAGAAAGAAAGGTTGAATGTTATAAAAATGTGAGAAAGAAAAGCGAAACGGAAGTGAAACTATAATGAATTTGTAGTGATGGAGCAAATGAGTTGAAAGTGAAGATAAAAACAATCGAGAATAAAAGGAAGAAAAGAAAAAAGAAAGAAAGAAAGAAAGGGAGAACTGACAGAAAGAATGAAGCGAGGAATAACCAAAATAAAAACTAAGAACGAAGAAAAAGAAGTAAATACACAAAATGTAAAGTGACGTGAAAATCAATGATGACGAGAAGATTAAAAAATTTTAAAAAATGAGTGAGGCAAATCAAAAGACAGAAGGGGAGAAATAGAAAGCCAGTATTTATGGTGATCACTAGATATATTCAAACTGTACCTCCATTTTCCGGATTTCGATATTCCAGAAGAAAAATGATGAGAAAATTTGAAATCATCCAAAAATGTTTCAATTATCCGAACTGAACCCCTTTCACTATTTAATCTCAGACAAATGTTTTGAGAATTTAGAAAACCAAACTCAGCGTTTGGTAAACACGCCAATAAAATCAGTTCAATTCTTGTGAATTCCGTCATTGACTTCATACAAAGAACAAACATTTGAATTCTGACCGCTTGATCACGCCAGAGATTACGCTTTATGCAACTCTCAGATGCATTTGTTTCATAAAAAATAAACAGGACAAAATGTTTAAAAATGTTATGCAATATATATATATATATATATATATATATATATATATATATATATATATATATATATATATATATATAAAGACTTGTGTATTTTAAATCTTTATAAATATTTCAATAGTTAAACATTTCTTTAGATATAGTTAAAAAAATTTATTATTTTTTTTAAACAACATCTAAAATATTATTACAGTTAGATTTATGTTAGGAATATTCGGACACAGTGGCGTTCCATATCACGTGACGTCCGCGTCTCGCGACGGAAGCTACTTGTATACAAACAGTTATTTCTAAAGAAAGATTGAGGTCAATCTATATATATAAATAAATAAATACTTTCTTAAAAAAACATTATTATTCTTTTTTTTAATTTGCAACTTTATATATATATATATATATATATATATATATATATATATATATATATATATGAAATTTATTTCAGAAAACTACTTTTTTCTTCATTCATTTTTAATAACTTCAGTATTCAATTATCCGTAATTTTCACTTAACCGAACCTTTTTGCAACAACTATTCCAAGGTGTCCGTATAATTCTAAAGAAGAATCAGCAATATTATTAGTCCTGATCTGGCGTCTCGGCTTCAGTCACTTGCCCACCTCCGTAATGTTACGTGTCTATGTCTTTTTTATAATTACTTCACTACGTTATCGCGACTTTTGAATTTAAGCGCAGTACTAGATTGGTGTCGATATCTCACCAATATACAGTTGAACTGGCCAGATGTAACCGTAAATTCTATGCTAAACGTTTCTTTTCTCGCACTTCTCGCTTGTGGAACTCCCTTCTGGCACTATGCTTTCCAGCCAACTTTAATCTGCAAAAATTTAAAGGCAATGATAATCGCTCTCTACTGTCCTCCTGATCACTCTTTTCTCTTCCCGCTCATTATTAATGTTTCTATTCCTAATTCTTCCACACCCTGTAACCTCTGATTTCTTAGTGGCTTTTGGCCCTGTCGGCTGGGGCTGTAGAATACGCCGACTGCCCCTCTGCAGAGGGATAAGAGTACACCACCCCACCCCACCCCAGTGGTGCGTCCTGGATATGACGATAAACTACATCCAACAGCAAGGCCTCTGATAAGGAGGTTTTGAGGAGCCTGGAACCACCTCTTAATTACTGGTGTTCCAAGGTCCACCCTGACTCGCGGTGGTAGCACATGTTAGGGTACCAGCTATGGGCAAATAGTTAACCTCGAAACTGGGGTAAAAAGCATTATAAAAATGTAAAAATAGGTTTCAATACCAGAAATACTTTGAAAAAATTATTACCAGAAATTAATTTTTGAAAAAAAGTATTACCAGCAATACGTTTTTGAAAAAAATTACCAGCAATATATGTGATTGTACTCAAAAATATGAGCAATTGAAAAATGGTTCAAATACATATGTATACATATACATCAAACTATCACTTTGTATCTATTTGAAAAATTTTGTTGGCATTAAATGACCCACTGAGGTTTTGATATGCCATAAAACAAAACAACCAAAACTTAGTGGCTTTACTGCCTTGTATGAGGTAATGTCGATTAAGAACAAAATTGAGGAAGTACTGTAAATAGTTTTGTATGTGTAGTTATATAAGGAAATATTATCTACATGTACACGGAAACACACGTATTGTGACCAGGTATTTTGGGGTGAGATAGATTTGTATTTCATTGGTAACTTTGAATTCAAACCGAATTCGAGTTGTTTGCTGACTTCACAGCATACTGTTCACCATTTCTCTTTCACCAGTTATCCCCGAAAAGTGCAGCTATAATCAAATCATCTGTGGAGGTAGTCTAGCGGTTTAGTTCTAAACTGAATCATCGGGCCCTCATACGTCGAAATCGATGGAAACATATGCCATATATAAGGATATTATTTTTTTTTTTAACGTATGGGAACATGTATAATAATAATAATAATACCAACATGTTAGCTTTAATCATTTAGTACGGAAATCAATCCTTTTCCTCTAATATGTATATTTTTCCACACTGTATAAAGGCAAACATGCGATCTGTTGTCCTCATCTTTGTTGTTGTTATCACAACGTTTCGGGAGCTGTGCCCTCCGGGCTTTTTCAGGTGTTTGTCGATCCGGGTAATCTTTAGGGAATTCCGAATTTGGCTAGTGGACTAAAGCATTAGTTCGTGAATTTGATAATTTAGTTATTATGAGTTCAATCCCTGGACTGGACAGCGTGTACTTCGACCCAGTGGAAACGGAACAGGCACTAAGTGAACAGTACTAAATGAACAACTAAAAGAAACATCACTGGACATGAACAGAGGAATGAGAACAATCTACCGCCGTAGATCAAATAAAAGGTTCAGTTAGAAATTTCCTGAAAGTTGGCCGTGTCGACAAGAACCTGATGAAGGCCAGAGAACACAACAACCGAAACCTTATAACAACAACAAAATAGTTCGCACGTAAATAATAAAAATAATGATAACGCCTCATCCCAGAAATTTAGACATGCAAAATGATAATGTCATCTTTTGTTTTGAACCTTAAAGAAAGCTTCTCACTCGTTTGGAGCGTAGATACAACACAATGCTATCCCAAATCGTCTTTTATAAGGTTCTTAATCTAATAATAGTTTTCCAGTAGAAACCTTCCTAACACTGCGCAGTCAGTTTAACTTCATTAAGCGCCTTACGTATTCAATGGGCTATTTTCAGTATGGTTTCTCTGATTTGTAGACTAGACAAATGTCCACAATCATCTGAGCCGACATGCTTATTTCACTCGTTACTATTGTAGGTATACTCTTCAGAAAGTTATTAATCTTGATCTTCAACCAAACTTACATGAAAGCACTGTTATATATGTAAGGAAATGAATATAATATACAATTCAAATATATATATATATATATATATATATATATATATATAAGGATCCAATATGTTATTTAATATTTGAATAGTATATCTTTGAGATGGTCTTCACCACGAAGAGAACCTGCATGTGCTCGATCTCTCATTTCAAAGATGTTGCGTCTTATCATATCAAGACATCTGTGGAAGTAAAACATCCGTAGAGAGATCGCAGCGATTACAGCTGATATGCTAAGTCGCACTTTGTTTGAAATGAGACACCAATCTCATGCATGTTCTCTTCGTAGTGGCTACTGGACTTGAGAAACCTGTTTTCCTAAAAAAAAAAAGTGTTTTAAGAGAAAGATTTTATAAATTTCAACCTCGCTGGCTGCTCGGTCAACGAATGTCAAATATTGTAGGGACATAGCTAATGTTACCATTGGCGTTGAGTTATGCAATCGACAAATTGATAAATAAAAATAGACGATCATTTACAGTAAATCACACACCAAATCGAAAACTTCAAATAGCCTAAGTATTACTTCGATTTGCTATTTACATTATTCGGACTATTGTCCTCAACTTTGTCGCCATATTTATTACAACGGTTCGACCGTTGTACGCTCCAGCCGTCTTCAGGTGTTTTGAATGTCGAACTGAACCCTTTATTTCGCTACCCACCTGAAGAAGGCCGGACCGTACTACGGCTGAAATGTTGTAATAAATATGGCGACAAGGATGAGGACAATAGTCCGAATAATGTAAATATTGTACATAATACCTTATCTCAGAAATATAGACAGATACTGTAGAAGGCCGGAGCGTACAACGGCCGAAACGTTGTAATAAATATGGCGACAAAGATGAGGACAATAGTCCGAATAATGTAAACAATACCTCATCTCAGAAATATAGACAGATACTTCGATTCAGTTTAAATTTATTCGTTTGAAAATGTCTAAGTAAAGTGAATTATTGCGCTCACCTGAACACGTGACTCCGTTAAACCAATCCTCAAAGCTAGCTCTTCGCGCATGAATATATCTGGGTAATGCGTCTTGGCGAAGCTCCGTTCAAGTTCGTTCAACTGCGCAGGTGTGAAACGTGTGCGGTGACGTTTCTGTTTGACAGACTTCTCCAGGTCCTGACTGCAGTTCCCGCCACTACTCACATTGCCTCCTCCACCGCCCGCACCTCCTCCACTGCCTGTAGTCGTACCGTTCACCGACGGCTGAGTCTGTTCTGATCGACCACTGTTGATCCCGGTCGATTTCAGTTGGTTTTCTTCTTTGCTCGTATCCTTGAGCTGAGTCGGGGAGAGGAGGTCATGGCTTGGATCGCGGATACCTGGAACAGTAGAGAGGAGTTCACACAGCACTGTGGAGGGGACATCATGCCTCTTGGCGGAATGGTGATCAAAAGAAATACGGCTCACATCTACAATGCAAAAGAGGGAAGGTATAAAACGCAGCTCCTAAAAATTATTACTTTTTTTAATGTCAGAGGCCTCAACGAAGTACGAAGTAGGATTAAAACAAGGTAATTTTAATTAAGTGATATTTGTTAACTTAATACAAAAATACGACTATAATAACATTATCCACGGTTAAAAGGTTAAAAATAATGGAAGCATTAATAATAAAAAAAAGAAAAAGCCAACATCCAATAATATCAATTATGAATACGGCCACAATATGATGACCGTGGTTGGAAAATAAAAAAAAAATTCACATCGCATAAAAATCTACATATTAAAATAAAAAAACATCCTTGATAATGGCTAATAGAATAGCCGAAAGCGCTCTTATAAAATTTGAACAGTTTTTATTCACTTTATGTCCAGAAAAGAAAACACTTGTACCACACAAGAAAAATTGAATAAAAAGTTTAATCGCAGTACCTTTTCAGTCCTCTTTAATGAAATTTGTATGTTATATACCGTACCTATGAACACTAATAGGTACATCCCTATCCTCATCAATACGTTGGACACTATTGTAAGTCGGGGTAATATTCTGTCTAAGTTGTCCACCACTAGCAGTGGTTTACCTACTTTACGCCGCTGGTGAGTATTGTATTTTGTTGATGTTATAATGATTACTATTTTCATTTCTAAACTCCGTTTTGGTTATTCCTCATTCAGTAACCCTTCCTAGGTTACAACATTGTATAAAAGAGGGATTGCTTCCCAAATACAATTATATATATATATATATATATATATATATATATATATATATATATATATATATATATATATATATTTGTGTGTATGTGTGTGTGTGTTTCAAGGTCACATAAATGTTTCTCTTGTGAAGTTTTGATTTTATTTTTACTGACGGCGGTTCAAGATTATCGATGTATTTGCCTATCTTATTTCCCCAAATACGTTCAGAGAATTTGGCTGGCTTCACGGAATAAAAATGTTTTCCTCCAGGGTACGGTTTTGCTATTTGATAGCTTCTCATTTTATAGTTTGGATTCGATTTTCTTTTTTTTTTTTTTTTTTTGCCATGTCACGTGTTATGAGGTCATGTCTTGAGTTTGGATTTTTATGGTCAGACGTTCGAATAGTGAGACAATGTTGCTAAGTCTATGTTGTTTTTATTTAATTATTTGTTAAAAGATGTTTAGAATAAAATTTTTAACTCGTTTAAAAGCCGCACTTTGTGCGAACACTTAAGCTAGCTCTTTCGGCCAAAAACTAAAGGGACCTCTGAACGGATAATAAAATAGCAATGATAATTTTAAAGAAATAACTTTGAATTCCTCAATTCACTCCATCGAAAACCAAAACTTCACTTTAATTTAGGCTATAAGTACAATTACAGCCATAACTCCGATTTGGGCCAAAATTCCAATTCAGGCTGGAAATTCAGTTCTTAAAATCACAAACTCTGCGAAACTTCAAAACCTCATGTCACGAAACTTCCCACTTTAATTCTTTGGTATTTTCAAAAAATAAAATTGATTTCCTCAGTTTACAGTTTTGAACTGAATTTAAAACAAAAAAAAATTAAATTCACGAAGATTTTTATTACCTTAAATTCAACATAAATACTTTTAAAATCACTATTTTTTTCAAATCCCAATGCTGGACGTTCCAGCACCGGATGAAGGACAGATTTTCAAACCTGAGATTATTCTGATTTCAAAAAGGTATAATATGTCTATTTAGACAAGGTGTGGACCAAGTTAGAGACACGGACGGACAGACAGAATTTGCCGTTTAATCATTTAGATATATTTAAAGTACTGATCCTATGTCGAATAAAATTTTATTCATTGTAGGTAACTTTGATACCTATTTCTTCTTTTTTATCTATTTTTTCAGTTAATATGGCATACTTTTAGTTTTTTATAAGTATCTCTGGAACGCTGGTTAGAGAATTTTTTATTACAGTATTACTAATATTGGTTTTTTATGGAGCTACTATTGGATAAGTACCATTGTAGCTAAAGTGAAAGGATAATAGTTGTATGACCAATAGAGAACATGTTTTATTTTTTTAGTAGTAATATTAGAGAAATAATTTCCTAATTGTGTTAAATAACGATAAAAATTCAAACTCAAAATATGACGTCACAACACAACGTCACATGACACGATTAAAATCTTTAAACAAAAACTATCAAATAAGACGCCAGGGAAAGTTAACACCAAGCCATACAGAAAACGACTTTGCTTCCAAATAGAGGGGCACAATGTTTACAAGTACTTGATAAAGTAATAAAGAGAAATACGCAGACAATGTTAGACCATCAATGAAAAGAAGAAGAATTAAATAAAAACATTCCAAGATTTTCAAAGATGTATGTTTAAAATTTGGCTTATTTATAGTGAAGAGTGCATGTGAGACGTGTATATAGGTCACTGGCAGATTAAGGAAAATGGGAGAAAATAAATAGCGCACGCTTACTTTATGATCTTCTTGAACGATCTAACCAGCGTGAATAAGAAATCTAGAGGTCATAACCAAAAATGACTCTTAGACCAAAACGAAAGTAACTGGGAAGGAGTAGTGTCTTCCCACCTCCACTCCCCGTAATCCCTCACTGACATATATACAGACCCTTCTATTCTCTCTCTCCCTTTCTCTCTCTCTCTCTCTCTCACTCTCTCTTTCTCTCGATATATATATATATATATATATATATATATATATATGCGCGCGTGTGTGTCTGTGTGTGTAAACAAATTTGATTAAAAAGTACCGACAAGGTCTGTCTGTTTAGTTTTTTTATTGTATTTTCCAATTTTAGAGTAAAGTGTTGAGTATATTGCTCGCAATTGTCGATAAATTGTGTTATTGTCTTGTTCAAGTTATACCATCTCTGTTATTTTCTAGAACCAATGTGGTGTCTGTGTGATATTTAGAATTCATCTGTCTACAGCCTGGTATTCCTTGGTAAGATGGAAGTTTGAAATAGTCTACGGTGACGTCATGTTTCACCATTATTGGAAACGTGGACACACCAAAGAGAATGGTGATTTTGAAAATATATCGAACAGTTTAATTTCGAGCATAATCCTCAACAACTTATTCGAAAATTGTAAAAATACAATAAAAAAAACCTACCTTTTAAATCAATTTTTTTTATGAATTCTTGCTGAGTAAATATTTCTTTTATATATATATATATATATATATATATATATATATTTAACAACATTTACCGGCCTGAAAGTTGGAGAAATTTCATTGAAAATATGTATCCTCCGTCAGAAATCGAACCTGTATCCTACTCGGAACCGTCATATAGTCTGACGTACTATACTATTTTGCAACAGGGGAAGCGTCTGGTTAGCAAGGTCGAATTACTGCTTTTAAACTACAAATTTCCCATGATTTCTCTCGAATGGTCATATCTGCTGGAAGCTTATCTTAACGTAAACAAATGACGTCACATATTATGAAATGGACTAAGTCCGACAATTATTTTAATATATCTATTGTTCATAAGTTATATATATATATATATATATATATATATATATATATATATATATATGTGTATATATATATATATATATATATATATATATATATACATATGTATACTATGTATATATATATATGATTAATACAAATATAAAATTTATGACTTAGCTGATTGATTATGTTCAGCACCTCAAATCCAGAATTTCGTAGAAGAACCCTTTTTGTAAGTGTTAAGTCTATTCCTCGGGAGGTTTCAGCAATTGACTGCCCTTTTTCTCATTTTTCTTTATTTTTATACTGTTTAATGTAATTAATTTATGTGCTAGTTTGGAGCTCTTATTATTGTTGTTTTTTTTTCTCTTTGTGTTTGTGCGTGAGTGTTCATGTGTGTATGAGGATTGTCTCAAATGCTGTGCTTATTTCGCCTTTTCATCATTTCTTGTCTCCTTAGATAACCTTTTTTTTTTCTATTTTGGCTTTAAGTGTCAAAAATTATTTAACATTATATATATATATATATATATATATATATATATATATATATATATATAGGCCGTTGAAGGAACAGTGACATTGGCCTGAAGGGAACATTGAAGCATAGAACAGACCCTCAACATTCAAGGTTGATTCATATGTCTACACTGTTTCTCTTTATATTATTTACCTCCACGAAAACGTTAAAAAAATCAGCATACCGTGACGAAAACATGCTCCAAATATAATGAAAACATAGTTTTATTGTCAAAATTGTTAGGTTATTATTAAGAGGAAGTATCAAATTATCGTTTTAATATTTAATTAAATTTTTCGCTCTTTTTTAGAACATTCGAAATTTTAATTAAAAAACTTGTTTTTCTTGCGTCAACGTAACTTTTAGCATAGCAAATTTTGACCTCTTTTTTTGCGGTGACAGACACATTAATTTGCAAATTTTTGCAAAAATCAAATAATTGTCAGAGTTTAATGAAATTTTCAGAACTTATTCATAAAGGAACTAAATTATTTTTGAAATTTTTTTTTAAAAAATTGTTGGTAAAAAGATTTTTATATGTTTCAGCTCCTTACTTAATTTTATGAAAACTTGAGAATTTCAATGAAATAATTTTAGTCTTTGAAGACTTTAAAACGCCGATGTTTTTTTTCTTTTTGCAAAATCGGACCTGGTCTTACTGAAAATCTGTTCTGAATCGCTAAATATAAAACGCAATAAAACTAAGACATTATTTAATCAGAGAAGCTTTTTAATTACTTTTATGAATAATAGATATAAATGACAATATTGTCTGAAGAAAAAAAAAATTCGACGAAAAATGAATTTTACAAGATTTGTTTTCATTTTTTTCCAATTTTAAATTGAATATTTTATAAAATCTTTAAAACGTTTAAAATTAATTTTCAATGTGATAATTCTTAGAAAATATCGTTATTAACTAAGACTATATTTACTAATCATATATTGTAAAGCTTATTACAATCTGACGAAGCCGAATATTTTTAAAAGAATTTCGATTTGTTTTTGTATGTGTAATTGCGTGCAGAATTTCTGATGTATGGATGTACAAACAACCGAAAAATCTAGTATTTAAAGGTCACGCGTTAAGGGTTGTCTTCCCTTACAGCGAAAAAAATCTCAAAATTTATTGTCTGCTGCATCATACTTAACTATGAACACGTTCGGCTGTCAATCAAATGTAAATAATTCGATTATCACGTCAGAAAAACAAAACCCTTTAGTTAAGAAATGTTTGTATACAACATTTTATGCTATAAGTAATATTTGGTTCAAATCAGATTAATTTTACTTTAAATATGTTCATTTTTTTCAAATAACGTTTCAGAAATATATATTTTATTTTTGCAAGATTTTTAAAACCGAGAATTAACTTTTGTTTACAAACGTGTTAAAATGGCCATTTTGATTGATTTTAATTTTAAAAAATCGATTTCTATCAATATAATTTCTGTTTGAAATACACTACAGAGTATTTTACTTAATGGAAATTGTATATTTTAAATCATTTAGCTGTTAATTGAAGCTAAAAATGAAGGTTTCAAGAAAGTGTTTCATTTTTAAAAATTCATTTTATACCTTACGTATACCGAATTAGTGGAGGTACCTACTTTATATACATGTGATTGATCCTGTCTGCCACAAAATGCCCATGAAGACAAGCAACAATATATTGCAATAACAAATATTATTTTGAATTAACTTTTTAAAAGTCGAAAAGTTCATAATATTTGAAATGTATGTCATTTCCTCAGACAGTTGAGTTCATGATGATATTTAAAAATTAAGAGAAGCTAGTGATTAAAGAGACATTTGACATCTCTAGGACACATAATGAGGAAAGAAACTTTTGAAAATTTGACACTCAAAGGACATATTGACGGCAATAGGAACATAGGAAAACAGCAAGTAACCTCTACCTAACAAGTTTGTGTAATGTAAAAGGGAGTCGGGTGGTGAAAACTCATACGAAGAGATCTACAGAAAGGAAGTTGTGGAGTGCCATGATTATCGG